TTGAAAGGAGGAAAAAAATAGTCGATCAACAAACTGATATATACTGTTTTCCTTGGATTGTTATGGTGTTGTGCCTTATAAATTTCCACCAATTAACTGGCCAAACTGTTTACAAAAAATATTTGAATTTGCGGTCTTTGAATGAAGAATTCCGTGGAAAATGTTTTGATTGGCGACGCGATAAATCAAAAGGTTTTGAACCACTATCATGTCACCACTCACGATACTCTTATCGTTTTTTTGATCAAAAATTCAACAAATGGTCCATGTCCTGTGTATAGTTAAAACTGCAAGTTCTATATGGCATAGTATGACTTTTTTCCTTACGTCTAAGGTTAAAAATTGCTCCTTCGCTATCACAATTTAGTTTATCGTTATCGATTCAATAAAAGAAAATTGCTGCCAGTCTTGAAAGTCAGAAAGAATTACTGTAAAACATGTTTTGAAAGTTTGTCCAGAAAAAAGCGTTGGTATAAAACTGCATTGCAGTGTGAGGCAATTAGTTTGAAGGTGATGTATTAAATATTGACCAATAAATTAGTTTTGTGTTTCATTAAATAACTTCCTATCCTTTAAAAGCAGTTGTATGTATGTAGGTTTTGTGTTAGCTAATTCTCTGGGTTTACCAAAGGCGCAGTGTATAAGACCACTGCATACAGGAAATTCAGCCTGAGTTTTCGTCTTTTTGCGAACACTTATTTTCGTGACCGGTTTTCCTTTGAAATTTTCCTACGAAAGTATCTCTTCGGTCAGGGAGAGATAAACCTGACAAGCTTCGCCATAATCAGTTTTTATTTAATTTGGTTTGTCAAAATCAAATCTTGAAATTGATTTTTGACCCCTTCTACCTATCCGTTTTTCTTGAAATTTTTCTCGCGTGCATGTTTGCAATGATAATATAATATTCAATAGCAGTTTTTTTTTAAATTTGATACAAGTTGTTGTTTTTTTAATTTAGAGCTGAATTTTTCTCCCTGATCCTCCATAAATGGTTAAATAAAATATCGAAAAAATTTAATATTTACATAATGCGAAAAGTTTTTAAATAATAATAATAATCTTTCGGAATAAGATTTTTCCGAATATCCAGCATAATTTGACGGATTTTAGAGGTTTTTCTAAAATTTTTCGAATCTATAGCTATCGTGTAGTCTCTAGGAATGATGAATTTTTAAATCAAGTGTATATTCTTCATTGCTGCAGACCCATGATTTGAAGTGATAAGATCGGATTTCTAAATCAAACGAAAAGAAAAATTCTTGATCAAATGCTCTGATTCCCCCCCTTTCCGTTATTGCTTTTCTGTATTTTGCAGACTAAAATGTCCAAGCCCTTTTTTAGACCAAAAGACTATTAGATCTCGAAACACAACTTTGTGTTGGGGACTCACTTTAAATGCTGTCCTCTATAAATGCATTGTTTCCCTTTTCATTCGAGTCTGTTGTCATTCGACAAAATATAAAACATCTTTCAAATTTAATCTACCGGTTACGGATTAAAAAACTAAGCTACTTAAAAGCAGTAATATATAATAATAGTTCAGAATAATATAATAATAATATTAAGAATATAAAAAATGCATTTAATTTACGATATATCTAATTAAAAACATTTAATATATTTTGTAGAATTACGTTGCATATTTTTTCAAATATCTAAAGATATATAGCATTCCCATGTTAGTCTAAATATATATTCATTTAAAATGTTTCGTTAGTCCACCTGGGCCATCTCTATTGATAATATGATAAGTCACGGTAAACCTTAACGGAACCCTTTTGGGCGACAGTTAAAATCTGAACTCTTTCAGAACTTTAGTATCTGTTATTTCTGCTTATATACTTCTATCGTCAAAGATATCAAAGAAGAAAAAACAGCTAATCTTTAGAATATGGTAACAGGTAGTTTGGCGACATTTTGGTAAGGCGATAAGGTTACTAGCTAGGACTTTAGCAATAATCTGAGAAGTACACAGAAGATTATTTTGTCTCGGAGAAATGAGAGATCATAAGACATGTAATGTAACATTTTCCGGACAATTCCGATCGTGATTTTAATAAGCACTTAGAAACTAATATAGCTAATAAGATATAGCTAATAAACACTTAGAAACAATTTCGCTGCTGAAGTGCAGAATCGCACACTTATTTGTTTGACGCTTTTTACAAGAGTAAGAAGAATTGGATTTTTGTCAATTTTCTTTGACTTTTTAAGTGAAAATAGGTCGATGTGTACATAGAGAAAGTCAAGAGTGTGCGCAATGCCATTTTTGTGCAATTCTGGGATGTTTTTTTAAGTGAAAATAGGTCGACGTTTACATGGATACCGTGTATGTGCAATTCTTAAAAACGCGGCAAGCAGTTTGCGATTCTGCATTTTCTCTCAATTTCGCACCTAATCTTCGTCATGATTAAGCATTTTTGTTCCATGAAAGTTCTAGTATAAGCGTAATTCGGCTAGCAGATTATTGGAAAAAAATGTTGAGTAAAAAAAAAAAAAAAAAAAAAAAAAATGCCTCTACTTCGTGAAAACAAAATGGCGTCCAAAACAAAACTAGCAGGTTGCTATAGTTGGTCGCCAAATTTTCCCCAAAAAATCGCCAAGTTACCATAATCTAAATATTCACCGAAAAAACTTACCTTGGCTACCAAGGCTCGCCAGCGTGCTTTGTGGACTTTTCTAAAGAAACTAAATCATACTTGCATTCCAAATATCCAGCATCACTTGCTATAAAATGACACTAAATATTTATTTATAGAACTAAAATTATATGTATATCACTCGTACAGTGTTTAAGTTCATGACGGCTGACAAAATACATCTGTTCAAATTTTCTAGTTCTTATCTAGCGGGTGCTATTCAAGGTGGAACACAGTTCTTAACAATATCTATAGTAGCTATCAATATCAGTCTTATTAACTGCTAAATAATATGTTGAATAATAATAGACTTTTCTGTTTTACTATTTCAGTTCAGTTACATAAGGAAGCGCTGGAGCTCGCCTTATTTGGAAATTTGATGAGCTTCGCAGGAATTCACGGCCGGAGTAGGTTCTTTGAAGCCCGATCTAATCTCTACCGCTCCTAAATTTTGCTGTCCAGCTCTTCTGAAATAATAATTCCACTGGGAAATCAAAAAGTTCTGAGCCGGATCCGGTTTCATTGAAGTGTGAGGTTGGTTGACTAGTTAACACTAATATATTAAATAATGTATAACTAATGTATGAAATAATTAACGTTAGTTAATACTAATGTATTAATTAATCAACCAACGTCGGAAAATATTCGAAAGCTGTGTGCCGAAAGAAGGACGTCTTCAGACTCTCTGAAAGAAACCCTTTCGTATTCAAGTTATGTATCGCGGAAAAAAAAAAAAAACATTCAGGCATTTAGTATTTCTCATTTAAGCCAGCTTCTTTCGCATAAAAAAATCTCGAACCTTTAAAAAATGAAGAAAATAATGAAACTACTGAAGATAAAACTAATCATAAAACTGAAATAAAAATACCACCAATAGTCATCACGCAAGTTGAATTAGATTGGATTGATCTACAGAAAATCTTAAGTACTAAAATTCTAAAAAACGAATATGAAACCCAAAAAAGTTTACTTAAATACTTCCACCGAAGAGGATTACAACAGCGCCATCGAATTTCTAAAGAAATCATGCATAGAATTCCATACGTATCAACTTTATTCCAAAACTAACATTAAAGTCATTTTAAAAAATATGCCCAGAAGCATCTCCGAAACTGCAATATTTGAAGACCTAAAATTTAGAAAATTCCCAGTACTAAAAGTTAAACAGTTCACAAAGAGAATAGAAAATGATATCATAAAATTACCCATATACTTCATTGAACTTGAAAGGAATAAATTAGGAGAAGCGATTTACAACTTAAATAATATTTTTAACTTCAATATCACTATTGAGAAATATGCACCTAAAACTAAAAGACCAATTCAATGCTTCAAGTGTCAGAGCTATGGACATTCACAGGCGAATTGCTATAAAAAAGAAATATGTTGTAAATGTTCCCAGAATCACCGATCTAACACATGCTCTTTAAAACGTGAAGAAAAACCCATCTGCTATTTTTGCCGTGGGGAGCACGTATTGTCCTAGCGTGGTTGCCCGATTTATAAAAAGCGTTTTCAAACTCCTAAACCTGCAGAGAAAACCCAAGAGATTCCAAATCTTAAAGATTTCCCAGCACTCGCATCTAAATCTGAAACTGAAATTAAAGAAATTCAAAGAAACATCCCATTCAGCGCCGTCTTTAAACAGCAGAAGATCCTAGCAGATAATAATCCAATATCCCAAGTTTTTTTTCAAATCCTAAATTTTTCAAATTCATTCAAGACATGAACGATGTTGCAGTTAATATCAAATCCGCTAAATCCAGTACAGAAAAACTTTCTATCGCTTTCTTAGCATTGCTCTTGATTTCGCAGAAGAGGAAAACTAAGTTCTGAATTTTACTTCTTGTTACTTCCTGACGCTCCAATAGATGGCGACACCCAAGCGACGATGTTTACACCAGTTAAAGTGGATTTATTTCACACTAAGACGTACCCCGCAGGGTAAACAACTTCTGAGTCAAAGTTCCCAGGACTATATACTCATTCATGCCAATTCATGCCAATAAAAAAATTTCACTCTTTTAGTAATTATTACTCGAGATGTACTGATAGTTTAATATATACATAAACGTTTAGTAAGCATAAAAACTAATGCATAAAAATGCTATCTTATAAGTTATTTAAAAAAGATTGATATGACTTAAAATAAAAGAGATTTTGCATTTGCGAGATAGAGATAAAACTCCTTTCGCTTCTATGCGTAAGTTCGATTACTGAATCCTTATTATAATGTGAAAAGTGGAATAAAATGTATCTCACTTTAGGAAAAATGAAACTAAGTAAACCAATCTTAAAATCATTTAAATGCTTTTAAAATAATTTAACTAAATACTATTAGGACAATGAGATATAACTTACACTCTATAGCAATCAAAAGCAAGAAAATCGGTCAAGGTAACTTTAAAATAATGTCACTTTGAAAATGAGCTGCACAAGACTACCTCCTTATCGCACATGTTTATGTCATTTTCAGTATCACATGATATGAAATGGTTCGATCTTTATCCTATGGCCCACGCAGTTAGATAATAGATTAAAGACCTGTTAAACAATTTTATAGCTATTTCAAAAGAACAAATATTTTAAAATCCCTAGGGCCCCTTTGCAACAATCTAGGGCTAATTATTCAAATGTATTAATTAGCTCGGACTGCTTAAAATTATTAATTATTCAGATATATTAGCTGCGACTACAGATATTTTTAAAAAATAACTTTTAACAATGTGCAGCAATTGTAACGATTGTAATGTAGTTGGAAGAGGGAAAACCTTTATCCTCATATCTGGTTTGATTATTTATTAAAGTAAGCACTCGAAAGCTATCTACCAAAGAAAGGGAAGTTCTTGTGAAGAACTTTCTAAGGGAATTGATTCGTATTTATGTCACATTTGATGAGAGAATCTTCAAGCAACCAATCCATTCGGTTACCAGGGACCGAACCCGGAAAAAATTATCAGTGTTCGGTGATCTCGTCCCTTTTGCTACTTACAGGAGAAAGCAAACAACTTCCACAACCAGTTCCAGTGAATTTAATTACACAAAAATTGCACGCAGACTTCAGGGCTAAAAGAATTTTGTAAAGGAATTTCCGGAGGAAATGATTTGTATTTGGGTAAAAAATCCAATGAGGCCTTCTATAAGAACTAAGTGTTACCGAGGGTTTAGCTACTCGATCGTTAATGGCACTCGAAGTTGAAAACTTGAGAATTACATAATTGATTACGCATGGCTATATTTACGTATGCTACTTTGATTTATTTACTCATCTTACTTTGCACTTGGTTGTATGTAGACCTGTTGTCGTTAGATCTTGCAAGCGTAAGAGGAAGCCGTCATGTCTCATTTTACCCTTTCCACGCCAAGCTTTTTTGAAGTGGCAACAAAAATCGTGCCATTTCAGACCTTTTCTTTATTCTGCAGGGCTTTAGATTGAGAACATTAAAAATTATGCCAGTTCAGCTTTTCTTCCACAATAGTGGGTGGGGCATGTATTCAAAGAAAGAGACAGGACGCAATGATAACACATGTTCTACCATGGGTTAATATTTCTCAAAAGAATTCTTATGTTTAAAGATGTCACAGCCAGTGACATTAATGTCGTATCTAAACATTATCGGGATATGAAGAGCGAAGCGTCATTGTGATGCCATTTTACACATACTTCAAACACATCTCATCATGTTTTCGCTTTAATATCGACTCTGAATCGAAATTCTGAAATGAAAAGGCCTTTTACCTATCTCATAGTAAAAGGTTCAAATATAAAAATTTTTCGAAAACTCTTCTGCCTTAGTGCATGAGGGAGCTCTTCAGATTTTCACTGATCTGCATCACAATATCCGTATTATACTCGGGATTAAGAATAGCGATAATGTCTTTCTTCAAATAGTGACAAAGATACGAGCGACGCTATCGATACAAATAAATCTAAATGCTCGGCAACCAGTCAAGAGTGTCTTACGACCTGATGACTTTAAGAAATCCGACTGTGATATATAAAGAAAAAGAAAGCCGGCAAAACAAAACAGAATAAGAACCAACGTGACAATTTCCATAGCGATCTCATTAAACCCAGATGGAAGAAAATCGACAAGAATATCAGGACGGAAACTGACGAATTGGGATTCCATAAATTTATGCATCAGCTACTTAGAAACTGCTAAACAAAGCGCCAGTAAAATCCCTCTGCCAAATCATCACTAAAAAAAACAAAACCCGACGAGAAAATAACACGGGAAAAAGAATGGTTAACTCCTAGGAGACTGCAAAACCTCCAAGTAATATTTATGAACTAAAGAATTTCTGTGGTCATTGCAAAACAATAATAAGATTCAGGATCAGTAATATTCACCTATCAGTCAGTTTGACCTATTTATTTATTTGTTCTCGGAATAATGACTGGCATCTCATGTTTCTCACACATTGCTCTAAGTGTCTCAAAATGATCATCTGCATTTTCTTCTGATGTCCAACAATTGATCTTGAAGCATCTGATCATGTTTTCCTGCGACAGCCAAATCCAGATCTTCATTTTATGGGTGTCTACTTAATAATGCTGTTTCTAATATGAATTTGCTTTCAAAAAGGGAACATCCATAAATTCCATAGTGCGAATGGAATGAATTAATATTTAAGCTTGCGTTTGTGAATGTAAGAGAGAGCGAATTTTTGCCCCTCGAGGCCAAATGGATTGAAATTATAAGGCTTTGCGTTATAGTTGCCGTCATTTAAATTGTTACGCCTGAGAGTAGTTCTGAGCCAACTCGGGTTTAAATTAAATTGTCTTTGAATACTATAGATTTGAATTTGACTGTTACTTTAAGTTACATCGCCCCAAGTGGTATTTGATCTTGTCAAGCATGAGATGTGCGTTTATATTCAAGTTCTGTTTTAATGAAAAGGTTATTCTAAATTTTAAAACATTTCCAAATTAATTTCAGACACAGCAACAATTCACTCTACGTCTTTTAGGGTTTGTATATCGCTACTGCTCGCTTTCAAATCGTAGAGTTTGTTAATCAAAAATTTGTAAGTTTTACAAATTCCGTACACATAACGAAGAATGTCTGTGTGTTTGATTGTTCGCGTTATTGATTTCTGATCAATTATGGTAAATTTTTTTAAACATTTAATCAAATAATTAATCAATAATTATTATTAAAATTGAAAAAAGGTGAAATATTGGATGGAACTTGAGCTTTTAGGACCTTTTGATTATAAAGACGAAAATCATTAAAAACTGCATGCCATTGTTGCTGATATAATGAGAAAAAGAATTAGCTTATTTTCTATCGATATTTTTTATGTGGATTCCATGTTGCATCAAGCTGAAAAATGTATGACTATGAATCGTAGTTTTGCATCGTTATTAGAGAAGGATTGCAGTGGTATCATTCTCTCTGTTGTTAGATGCATCAATCTAACTTAACTAGCTTCGATTACTTCCTCTAGTTTTGAATAAAGAAACTCTAATTTTTATAGGTATGCCTAAAAGTGCATTTACTTTAAGACAATGGCGAATTTTATAGGTTATATTACAAAATGTTTTTCGAAAAATTTACAAGAAGTTAAACACAAACTTTAAAAGTAAATCAGAAAATATCTTCGAATTTTATTTGGATTCAACTTAAATTTCGAATTGTAAAAAAAGGAATCAATTAAATTTAATAAAAAGAAGATATATTAATAAATATATAGCAAATTCGATTAACATTGAGGAGCTAAAATTTTGAGAGCTAATTATTTAAAAACACTAGTGTGATTTTTACAAAAGTTGGCACTTATGCATAATTTGAGTCGTAGAATGGAAATATAGGAAAAAATTGGTATGTAATTTCAGAAAAACTCCAATTTTGCATAAAAAACGCAAAACCCGAACTGGGAAGTCAATCTTCCCAGTAGTACGGAAGATACAGAATTGCCTTTTTTTTTTTTTTTTTTTTTTTTTTTTTGTGTGTGTGTGTGTGTGTGTGTGTGCAGAGTATACCCGAGTGAATGGGCCATGGCCCACTTCATTGTCAGCTCGTTTTCACCGTTTAGTCTTTTTGAAAATCATCCCATTTCAGTCTGTCATTATGGGGTAGATAAAAGGAGTTCCCATTTCAGCTTTACTTTCAGGATCCTTCAAGTGATCCTTCAATGGGATGCGGCTATGAAGTATATATGAAGTGATGTTACTATGACACTCCACTCTTTAAACTTCGTATTGAGATATTGTTCAAATACGACATTAGTTCCTAGCACTGTTACCTAATACTGTAGACGTGAAAGATTTTTGTATGACGTAATAATACGTAGCAAAGAACGTGTTAACGTTTATCTTAATCTCTTTTACTGAACATCTGAACTAAACGTTTAGATACCTAGAAAGAACAGGCAACCATACAATTCATATAGACCATACAATTCACTATAGTGGAAGAAGTTTCCCTCACCTATACTAAAATGGGAAATAAAAGCTAAAATGCTATATATATATAAAGATATATATATATTTTGTGTGTGTGTGTGTGTTTTCGACTGGAACACTTGCAGAAAGAAAGAAAAAGCCTAAACTGGCATGACAGTTTTGCTTATGGGAAAACCTGTAATGGGAAAAGCTGAAATGGAACATCACGATGAAAATATGCCACCACCTTCCTTAAAAGCACAGCTGAAGACGTCGTTCCATATATTTGTCCTATATATACCATTGATTTTAGCAGGAATATTCTGCTTCAAAACGTTCCGTGTCGTAGCATCTGTAACATAAACTGTGAAAGGCATAAGCTAGGAGTATCGAACAAAGTGTTCAGTTATATCCTTTAAGAATGATCTTTAAAAACTTATTTTGGGGACTGAAAAAAACGTCGACATAACTGCTTTGAGCTTGGTAGAGACTTAGAATATTGTGTTTTATGGAATCACTTCCAACACTAATATGCTCCAATTAGCAGATTATAGGGCCTTGAACAGTTAAATAAAAGTTGTAAGTTCTTTAGTTTATTAACCAGTTATTATGATTTTGATCTTTCCTAAACCTTCTTCAATCAGTATTCTTCACCAATTGCTTTTAGAGTATATAAGCTGAGGGTTTTGAATATTAGAGAGAAAGAGAGCTTCTGTCATTCACGTCATCCTACTAAATCCAAGAATGCCTAGCCAACTCTATCTAAAATTAATTATTCCGGCTTTTACACTTTTTAGATGTACGCGCCGGTAAAATTTTGAGTCAGCTTATAGCTTATTTCGTTGAATGTGTGGTCTTTAACTACGTTGCAGCGTTTAAATCTAACTGACTGTTGTTTCTTAATTTATGTTGCCACAAGTGGTGGTTTGTCTGTAGTACAAATCATACAAGTTATAAGATACAAGTTATAAGAGTTTGTTGTTGTAGTTTGTTGTAGTACAAATTGTGTCTTTCATGTTCAAAATTCAGAATAAATAAAAATGTTATTTTAAAACTTTCTCCTGCAATGATAACTTGCTAATGTGTTTATTTGCACGACTAACATAGTTTCCAAATTAATAGTAAATATATAAAGTGGATTTACAAGACAATTTTTGAGAAGAATTAATATGGATATTTTATAATTTGATTAGTCAAAAAACTGGACGCATTTCAAATTGAAAAAACAATAACCATAAATTAATTTAGAAGCCAAACAACAGAAATCAGCGTTATATTTTTGTTTTTTGACTTCTAAATTAATATTTATTTCGCGTGTTATTGTATCTTAACAACCATAAACTTGAACTTTTGTGCAAATGTCAGTTAAGCAGACGATTTCTACTTAAGTCACAATAATTAAATTTTTACATTAAATTTAATCTTCGGAGACAAATAAAAAATAATGTTTTCTCTTACTATTCCTTTTAATATTTGCCGTAGTGGCAACATAGAAAGAATAAGTATAATATTTGGGATTAACTTTTATGGCAACAGGGAAGAAAACAAATATACAAACTAACTCTTAACCACTGTATATATATTTAATCAATTCTGAATTAAAATTTTGCCTACGTATTGAGTTTTATTCCTATTTTGTATTTGTTTGCAGTTTGATAGAATGATATGTTACTTATAGAAGTATATAATACAATTAATGCATTAAGGATCGATCAGCTTTCCAAGAAGTTATGAAGGCAATTATTATCACACACTGTATTAAAAAAAGTTTTAAATTTTACTCTTCCAAACCACAAATGATGTGCTTAAAACTTGGCTTCTGAGCAATAGATGCTTTGGACTCATCTACAGTTGAAAGGTCTGCATTCCTTTTATATAGTTATAGTTAAGAAGTTATAAAATTTTATAATGGTAATTTTGTACAAATGTTACATATGAGGAAAAATATATTATTCAAATACAAAACAAGGGTAATTTTTAAATAAAAAATTTAATTCATTAAACATTTAAGAGTATAGTAGAGAATGATTTATTATTAAATAAGTATATTTATTTATTTACAAATGCCTGGCTTTTGGTACTTAAGCCATTGGCAACTTTGCCTCCTAGTACTTCTGGATTACAGAATTAAATCCATTAAGTGCAGAGAGCTAAATAAATACATAATTGTATTCCGTATCCTCTGATTTAATATCCATGCGGCTGAGGGAAATAAGGGTTCTTTCTAATTATCCGCACTTCTGCTTTCAATCAACGAGATAATATACCTGTTATAAGAAGTCGTTGCTTTCAATATTCAGTAGAACTGCCGGGTTTTTAACGTATTTTCGAGAATAAACGCGACAAAGGCCACTGGTAATCCATAAATGTGTTTTAGTATACACAGAATTCATTTTGTGGAAAACCTAGCAAGCAAATGAAGACTGCTTCGACGAAATTTTGAAGATCGTTACTGAACTGTATATACCAGCTGAAAAGCAATCAAATATCTCCTCATACGTTTTCTTCCGTTTTTCTCTCCTAATATTTCGTTCTTCTTTAAAAAAAATGCTTTTTTTTATTGTTATTTATTGACAGACTACACCTCATGAGTCATAAGGATAGCCAAATAAACATCTTTGCCAATGAGTTGGCGACTTTTTATGGGTTGCGGATAATCAGAGACCACCGGGGTAAGATGAAATAGTTATCGTATCTAACCCAAGTGCACATAAGGGGGTATATTTATCATCATCATTATTATTATTTTCAAATTAACTAGCCTGGATTTAGGGACTCCTTAGAACACAAAGCCCAGGAGGGGAGGGAGCCATCGAAAGGCCATCGTTGGTTACTTTATTTACATTTTTGTTATATTTATGTTTAGCTTTTTATACTTGAATATTATTACAAAATAAAATGCATATTCAGTTAACCATTTTTCTAAATATATTTTTTTAATATCAGCATCTTCAAATTATTTTAAATTGATCAGGCGAATCCAATCAGTCCCTAATTTCAGTGCACAGTAAAGTTTGGAAATATATGCATTCTGATAATGAAAACGAAAAGAAAAAAAAAGGGGGAGGGGAGAGTGGTTGCATTAATTTATTCTTGAATCCCCTTTCCCAGTTCAAGTCTAACTAATTTAGGGTAAAAATAACACCGAACTGATAATGCTTTCTTTTCACTTTAGCTAAAAAGAATTTAAAATATGATGAATCCCGAGTTAGCGTTAAAAGATACAAACATCGACGGAGGTTGGGCTTGGATGGTCGTTTTCGCCTCGTTTATGATTCATCTTATAGCAGATGGCTTAATGTACACATTTGGAATATTCTACGTTGAACTTCGGAAATACTTTAATGCCACCGAAATAGCGACATCTCTTGTCATGTCTATTCTTATGGGAGTATCATTCTGCATCGGTAAGCATTTATTTGGAAAATTAGACGCTCTATTGATTGAAAATTTACTTTCATGTATTCTTGATTTCTTTAACAAGACATAAACAAAATGTTCTCCTTACGCTTTCACTAAGACAGTCTACATTCAGCAAAGCCACTATGCAGACAGAACTACGTTGACAAATAATTCGTGATCGATAAATACATGTTCACATAAACAATGGTATACAGTTTGTCCCATTTTGAATTCAATTCATATATTGCAAAAGTATTCTAAATACAAAAATATCTGTTTGTAGATACACCATACACACTAAAGGCCATACCCATAAATTTAGTGTAATTTTTTTTCCCCTTTAGCGAAGCGCTGACGTTCGGGAGAGTTTCTAGGGCTCAGAATTCCACAAATATACGCTTTGCGAAAACAAAAGGACAATTCTGTATCTCCCGATCTTCTGCGTTTTTCATGTATCGTAATCCGGACTTAAGATATATATTAGATTTATATATAGCGTTGGTCTAACATAGGTATTTTGACACAAAATCGGACATTTTCTGAAACGACATACCTATTTTTAAATTTTATTTATTTGGTTAATCTTCGGATTATGGTAACTTGGCGATTTTTTTGGTGAAAATTTGGCGACCAACCCTGCTACAGCAACCTGCTAGTTTTTTTTTTTTTTTTGACGCCATTTTGTTTTCACGAAGCCTTTTTGTTTCACATTCATGTTTTTCAGTCTGCGTCAAGAATAATTCACTTGGCAAAATTCTTAATATTTATGGTATCCTGTTTTTCTTTCCATTGTGCACGAGCAAAAAAAAAAAAAAAAAAAAACATTGTTCCTTCTTTCAAACAGTTTTAACAAAGCGCACAAATTTGGCGTTATTATCGCTTACAACAAATATGCCAAATTTCAAAACGCACCAATATATAATATTTACGTACATATCAGAAAATTTTGAATAAAAAGCTCTTTTTTTTTTTTTTTTTTTTTTTTTTTTTTGCAGGTATGCTTATAAATGCATCAGCTTTAAGATGACTGCTAAAATGTTATAGGTTGTAATGAGAAAAATTTTTCCAAAACTTTATAAAAATTACTAAAAATGCAAATTTTAAAGACAAATCAAAAATTTGCTGCGAATTGTACTTGGATTCAACCTAAATTTCGAATTGTAAAAGAAGGAATCAATTAAGTTTAATAAAAAAAAGGGTTATCAGTAATTATATAGTTAATTCAATTAACACTGAAGAGCTAAAATTTTGAGAGCTAATTTTTTAAAAACTGTTCGTGTTATTTTTACAAAACTTGGCAGTTTGGCATAATTTGAGTCGTAGAATCGAAATGTGGAACACAGTAGGTCAGAATACCTATTTTAAAACAACGCTACATATAAATTTAATATATACCAAGTCGCACTTCGGAGAAATCGAAAATGCAAGTTATGTTTCGTCAGTAGACCCAGTAGAACGGAAGATATAGGACGGGCCCCAGCCAGTTTTTTTTTTTTTTTTTTTTTTTTCCCAAGGTGTACGTGAAATCTGACTGCAAAAAGAACTTTTAAATACGGTAAACCTGCATCTCAACTCCCAAAAAATGTGATTCTTTAGGTTTAAATAGTAGTATTTTAGAAATATGCATATTAATCGAAAAAAACAGTTGAACAAAAAAGGAAATTTAAATACAGAGTTTAATAATAATTACTTAATCATACGAAGCAGTGCCGTCAGTACACAAACCAATGCGTCTTTTGTAGTCAATACAGTTACTTTCAATGTAATTGTTAATTACCTTAAACATTTCAGAACTGGTTATTTGAGATGGTAGTTCGATGAATCACATCAATTCTTCTCTGATATCATTAACTGCATAGTCAATATAACGGACGTAATGTAAAAATATTGCTCAATTTGAAAGGTCGGTTGATTCATCCATTTACATACACTCCGATTTAAGAATATATTGTATAGTTCGACCGTCTCAAACGCAACCTTGGCTGGCGTTCTGCCAAAACACATAGACTCGTCGAAAAGGGGCGTTATTACTTGCTGCGACGTGAAAGGTCACGTGAACACCTCCGGAAAGAGAAAATTTATATGCCCAAGGGAAAGAAAGTTCACATCCTTCCACCCTATTTTCAAAATAACTCGGTCCGAATGGCGCATACGTGTTTGCGCTCATATGGTCGCGGATGAGGCGGTCGAACTATAGTAGCTGACTTTCAATATCGGATGATAATTCGCAAATTCTACATCCAATAGTGTCATTGAAAATCCAAAGTTTTCATTTGATTTGCAGCTGATTGAATCAACACTTTAGAGCACACTTCTATCAAACGAGGTTTAATTAGTTTTTCAGCAACTAAGTATGGTTTTTTCGACTTAACGATACGCATAGCAATAAATACAATGCTTTTAAAAGCGATTTATTAACCGTAAAACGTTTTTTAAAAGCATTGTTTTGACCTTCCAATTCTTTTTTTTTTTTTTTTTTTTTTTTTTTTTTTAAGTCTGCGAGCTTATTCTCTAGTTGTGGATGCTTAGATTGTAAATGCCGCGAAAGCTCGGAGAGTTTCATGCATTCATTAGTACACAATGTTCACAATGAACAATTTTCTAACTGAAGAACAACAAAACCACATTCCAAATAGACTGATAAATACTTTCTACGTTTTAGCGGGCCGTGGTATAACATCAGCTTCAATTGTATTCGACGATGTACTTGCCTTTTGCGAATCCCTCCTTTGGACACAATTATGCGCCTGTTGTAGTTGCCTTCTTACCATTCTGGTTCTTGATTTTAGAGCATTAATCTAAAAGTTATAGAAATGAGTATAGGGAATAATTAATTACAGTATTAATTCAAACCTTATGGTGGTAAGTCATTTTCATTCTTAAACTACGCAGGAAACTGTTAGAATGTGGTGATATCATCTACCTGGCAGATGGCACTTCAGTATGGTAGATTTTACTATACTGAAGCGCCACCTGTCAAGCTCTTCATGTCGGTTTTCCTTTGCTCAAGCGGCAACAGCTGAAGTAATCGAAATTCATAAAAGCAATTGAATTTGGTTAAAAAACTTCATTGTCAATTTTTCTACTTTCTTGTTAATAAAACCATTTAAAGAAATTCGTTTTGTTTGTTACACTAACAATGCAGTTGCCATTATTCAATGGCCTTCAAAGAAAAATTAGCATTTCTCCGCTGAAAACTAATATGCATCGTTTAATGTGATTACTGGTAATCCGAAAATGAACGTTCGTGGCACCACGATAGGTCTTCTAATATTCGGAGCAGCGCCATTAAACAACAAACGACAAGTAAATTAAACAGACAACAACAGACACGCTGAGAAAGTTTGAGATAATGCGTTGAGCAGTATGCATGATAACACACACAGTTGCCAGATCCTTTTTTTTTTTTTTTTTTTTTTTTTGGTAAATGACGGTAAGTATATTGTTATAATACTTCTGAATTTGGAAGAATCGGAGAATTGCGTCTGCGGACCGGTGGTTGAGAAACACTGATATAGGGTACCTCTACCGATACCATTTATCTTTTATTTCTCTCACAAAGTCGTAATGTAACTAGTAATCGGTACCGCGCAAATTTGCAGTAAATATACGGAATGATGTGGACTTCGAACTTGAGAACTGCAGATATTGTCGGGCACTGAAGTCGACTCTGATCAGTGTCCTCGTCTGATTTACCCACAGTCCTCGCCGTATGATTCGAAAAATGTACTTTTAAATAAAATTGAAATTAAAGGCCATGCTTCAGTACTGAGGAGACCATTTAAACAGAATCACCGGCATAATTAAATGACCTTTTAGAGGGGGGGGAAAGGCTATTCACACTGTTTTTGAACTAAGTTTGTTTACATTCTCAAAAGATAATTATTTCGAAAAAGGTGAATATAAACAAAAATATTTTTTTTCCTTTTCTAGGTTTCGTTTGAAAAGTTTACTGTATCACCTGATAAACTGAAAATTAAATTATAATTTTCAGATAGAACATTTCTTCTGCTATTGGAATTAACAAATGAAATAATCTAGAATTATAGATATAACTATTAATAATTAGCATATAGCTGTAAGATATCGTAAAGAATAACTCGTAGAAGCTAAACATGAACTATTTTCGAAACTAAACACGAGGTACTGTGCAATCGAAATTTGTCTTATGCATAGAGTTTATATAGGGGAAGTAAAGTGCTGCTTAGTACAACACCTTGTAAAGTTGTACTGTTACTTTACATCTGTTAACATGGGCGTACCCCAAGATCTGAGTCAAGGGGTGCAAGCTACTTTCGAACGAAAAAACTAAATCAGGATTGAGCTGAAGTTATGCCCACTACCAGCCGAATGAAATAAAACTAGGCGCTAGTAATCCGATCCAAGACTCTGCATCATCCGATCGAATCTCAGCATGTTGGCTAGATACAAGGGCTGCTTCGTATTAATTTTTTTTTTCGAGCTTAAAATGAATAGAATAACACTTTTCCCTAGAAAATCTTTGAAAAATGTAATGCTTTTCTTCAGATGGCTAGCCTTCGCGTGGTTTGCTGTAACAGAATAAAGCAGTAAATAAAAAATGGCATGAATACATGAATTAAGAGGTAGTTGAAGTTTGGGGAACTGGAATAAAGAGACTAAGAATTCTTTTTAACTGATATATAAATATATTTTTTGTTTCTTCTGCGTTAAATCTTTCTCATTTATTTCGAGTCTTCTGAAATGAGCTAGCTTCCCAAGTACACTTGACATGCCACATAACCCATTCAGGCGATCCTCGGCCTCTGTTGAGAACAAACAACAATTTACTGTTTTTACTCTATATAAGGTACTAAATTATTGCTCAGTAATATTCATAATATATCGTTGAGACAGAGAAATAAGAAAGGCATGCTTTGTTAATAAAAGAAATGCCCATTTTTTTACTTAAGTATTCCAAAGTTTAACCCCTTCATGTTGACGATTACTTTTTCCTCTCTGTCTCCAAAAATCGTACCAGAGTTTT